GAGCGGCAGGGCCGCTGCTGCAGCACGCATGCGCCCAGCACGCCTCCACGCATGCGCGCTGTGCCGCTCGCGCACGTGGGCGCGCCGCGCGGAGCCACCTGGCCGACGGGCGCCGGGACAGACTGACGCCTCCGGGAGAGGGCAGGACGGAGCGGGCTGGAGGGAGGAGGGCCTGAGGGGGAGGAGGCGGCCCCCGGGGGCAACCGGAGGGGAGGAGGCGGGCTGCCCGCGCCGAGTGGGGTCTGGAGGGAGGGGGGCGACCCAGAAGGGGGTTACAGTCCGGAGGGAGGGTGATCCTACAGGTGGAGGAGAGAGGTCGGCAGGAGGGGAGGTCCGGAGGGAGGTGGGGGTGGGGGTCATAGAGGTGGAGAGAAGTCTGCAGGAGGTGCGGCCCGCAGGGAGGGGAGAATCCAGAGCAGGGGGCGTAGGGCCCGCAGCCCGTTGGGAGCTGCCGTATCCCCATACCCCGAGGCGCCCCACTTACCTGGTACCACCCACCTGGCCCGCCTCAAGCCGCTAGCCGCTGCGTCCCATGAGCCTCTTAGTCGCCGGCAGATTTATAGGCATCCGCCCAGCCGGATCGGCTGACCCCGGCCGTCCGTCCCACCGCGCGTCCCGCCCGCCGCCCGCTGCCTCCCCCGCGGGCTGGTCGGCCCTAACCCCGGCCGGTGCGCCAGGCAGCGAGCCAAGTGGGCTGCACCACGAGAGGCGACACAACCGCCAGCAATGCGCTAATCACTGGGTGTGACGGGGCTTGGAAGGAGCGTGTTTGGGGAACCAAAACTTGGGGTGAGCAGCTGCGATGGAACCGCGCTCCCTCGGGCCGCCGAGATCAGAAGGGAGCTGCGTGCGCGCGCCCTGTCCCCTTTCTCCAGAAGGGCAGCTGAGGCCAAGGGGCCGCCTCTCCCCGCCCTTCCGCGGCCCAGCACCCCCCAAGCTGCCAGGGTTGAATCCTCCTAACCCAACACCCTGCCAACCTCAGAGGCTCTAGGCCTGGGGTCTTAAGTCTGGGCAGTACAGGACTGTGGTCACTGGGGCTCCTGGGTCGGGGCACCTACCAGCACTACTCTGCTCCACCCCCAGGCTGCGGGACCCAGAGGAGGGGAGGATGGCTCTAGGTCACAAGTGTCCACTTTGTAGCTCCTAGTGGAGCTTCAGCCACCCCAGTCCAGGCTTGCTGAACTGCTGGTTCCCCATCAGTGCACTAGACATCACATGCCCCATCCAGGCCCACCCGTGGGCCAGGCTCCAGGCTCTACTGTCAGGACACATCAGAGAGGAGTCAGCAGAACCAGCGCACCCCTGAGTGCCAGCCATGATTTTCAAACGTTCGTTCCTTTTCTACCATCCAGTCTCCCTGGCATGTAGCGTCCAGCCCAGGCAGTCTGTGCAATGAGTTGAGTCCTCCAAAGCCTGTCTCTAACGGCACCCCTTTGTGTCCTAAGCACCAGGGCCTCCCCACCCCCCAGTACCTGCTCTCGCAGTACCAAGTGGGGGCAGCGGGAACACCAGGGACCCTGTGTCAGGAGACCTGGAACAAGATCAGGCACAGAGCAGGTGCTCAGTGACTCCTACCTCAAAGGACAGGTCTTAGGTGTCTTCTGGAGAGAAAGGCACCACGGTCCCTAGACCACTGGAGAGTGGGAGCAAAGATGGTGGGGATTTGGGAGGATTTCTCAAGCTCTGTAACTTCCCCAGTGGGCTGTTTTGTAACCTCAGCAGCTTCCCCAAAGTGGCCATCAGCCACCCCACTGATGGCCACAAAGAGAGCTTTCAAGACGTTTTTGGAAGTGATCATTAGTAATGATGCTCGACCCCTCACTATGCGGCAGGCACTGTGCCAAGCCTCCCAATAACGTTCTAGAGCAGGGATGGCCACCGCCTTCTGCAGAGACAGCCGTCTCTTCAGATGGCAGGTACCTTTCCTAGGTGACCCTCTAGTGGGAATTTTGTCTACCCTGGACCTCAGCACTTCCGCATTTCAGAGCTGAGAACACAAGGGCTGTGGCTTCTGTCAGCTGCCCTAGATTGTGCAACTTCCCTGGTGGCCTGACCTAGGGATTGGGGCGGAGGGTGCACACCCAGGCCCCAAGGGCCGATGCTGGGATCCAGTCTTGAGGCATCTGGAAGGCTTCCTAGAGGCAGTTTTAATTGGGCCATGTTTAAAGGCCAGCCTAGGATGAGCCAGGCTGTGGTGGCGGGGAAGACAAAGGCCAGCATGGGGGTGGGCGGGGGACCAACACCAGGGCCAGGCAAGTTTGGATTGTGCAAAGGAGGGGAGACTGTTTCAGAGGGGCTGGGGGCCCAGAAAGGTTTCCTCCACTAGGGCAGGCTTAGGCGAAGCGGTCAGATCTGGGTGGTGCCCCAGGGGGTCACACTCCCTGTGCTGTGACCTTTCCCAGTCCCGGGAGACCTGTTGGCTGCAGTTGTTCCAGGCAGCCCAGGACTTTCCCAACATAATTTGATATTAGTTATTTTGTAGTCCTTTTCCTAAAGATGGCTCTTAAATTGTTTATACTTCAAAACCTGGGTCCATCTTCAGCTGAGGGTTGAATGAAGGGGGATAGCAGGGTGGGGTAGGCAAGAGGGAGAAAGGTGGGGTATCATGGTTAGGCTGCTGCCCAGAGCCGGACTCCAACATGCAGGGGGCGGTGGCCTGGCTCTTAGGGGGGCATCCTGGGGGCACCGGGCTCTAGGTGCAGGTGGGGGATGGGGTACCCCTGGCTGAAGGACAAAGCGGGTATTGGCTGCACGTTCAGGGTCCTGCTCCAGGTCCTGGGGGAAGCTGACTACAGCCATGCTACGCTGGGGTAAGCAAGGCTGCCCATCACCCAAAAGCGGAAGTAGGCAGGAGCTTGGGTGGCCAGGGTTCCTGGTAGGAACCGAGGGATCCCTGGGAGGTGATTGTCATGGGCTGTCCTCAGCCAGCTTGTCCATCCCCCAGTGTCTGTCCTCCAGCTATGCCTCCAGGGCCCCTGCCTGGCCTTCCCCATGCCCTCCCTGGGCCAGTGTCTGGATTGCCCACTTGGCGGGCTCTTGTTTGGGCTGGTTTTGAGGGGCAGCCCCTCTTCCTGAGCACCAGCTGTGTGCCATGTGCAGCCCTGGGTGCTGACTGCCAGGTGGGAGGGAGAGGACTGGGCAGGGTGGGGAGCTGTGTGACCATGGTGGCCAGAAGCCCTGCAGGGGGCGGGAAGAGCATCCAAAGAGGGAACAGCAAATTAGAGGTCGCAGGCAGTCGGGCCTGGCGTGTCCATGCAGGGTGGGTGGCATTCTTGGTGATTCCTGTGGCCCATGGGGCCCTCGGTGAGCACGTGGGAACTCCCTGAATCCTCACAAGTTCCCTAAGCAGTAGGTACTTTCCTTGTCCGGATGTTCCACGGGGAAGTTGCTCCAACGTGAAGGGCCAGAGCTGGCCTGCGGGGCTCCGAGGCTCCGCTGGAGGATCGGAGGACTTTGGCCGCCACTCAGAAGGGGCGGAGCGGGCGGGGCTGGGGCGAGGGGTCGCTCCTCTGGCCACCGCGCGAAGCCCTAGCAACGCCGGCCCCGCACTGGCAGCAGCGCTGTCACATTGATGTGATCTCTTTGGGGGAGGCAGCGCCCGCGACGGCCAGGGGTGGGGGACTGCGGGGTGTGCGGCGAAGGGCGGCCGCATGGACACGCACCTGGGCCGGAGCCGCTAGGGGGCAACGCGTCTCGCAGCCATGGGCTCCCCTACGCCGTGGGTCCTACACCCAGTCCCTCCTCCCCGCGGCGAGCGAGGTTGGCGCCCTGCTAGCTCCGACTTCATGAACTATGGAGGATGGACGCCTCAAAGCCCCCGCTTTGTTCTAAATCAGAGCGGAGGGGGCTGAAGGGGCGGGACCCCCGCAGGGCAGGGACAGAGGCCTGGCAAGACCCCAGTGTCCTTCCCCGCGCGGCGTCCTTCCCCGCGCGGTGTGGGGGACGGGAGCGCAAGTCAGCCCAAGGGGCCGGGTCGGGGCAGCGTGCGCTGTGCGGGATGTCGCAGAGGATCAGTCCAATGTTACTTTCAGAACCAGTGCCCCTGCCCCCCTCCACGCAGGTTCCATCCCTGTCCCCAATCGGACAGGCCCCCAAGGCCCTGACCCCAGGGAGGAGTGGAGTGAACTGGACTCTGCCTATGAGCCATCTGGTCGCATCTGGATTCCCAAAGTCAACAGCCCTAGAAGGGCTCAATGGAAATGACAAGTGCAGGGGTGATGGAGTCATGCCCCGCCCCCACCCCGCAGTGAGCTCAGTGCCCTGGGCAGGGATGGCCTGGCCTTCCATGCCCCTACCCAGGAAAAACTGGTCACGATTCTAAGGGTCCAGAGGAACCGCCAGGCTCCCCCTCCCCTCACCTAGTAGTGTCATGCCCCCCTAGGTGTCATGAGGTGTGCAGACTAGCAGTCAGGTGGTACTAAGATGGCCAGGTGTCCCTCACTACCTGAGCTGGTTCATCTCCACATAGGGATGCACTGCCAGGAGCAGGTGAAATCCTGGAGGAAAATGAAGCAGGAGGGATGGGGGAAAGGACTGCTGGGGAGGGGGCAATCCTAGTCTGAGGTAGTAAGGGAATCCCCCTCCCACACCCGAAACATCTGAACATAGGCAGGGAGTGGTCACACGTATCTGCGGGAAGAGCATTCCAGATCCAGGGAATAGCGGGCACAAAGCCAGGCCCTGGAGTCAGCTTGGCTGGTAAAGAGCAGCAAGGGAGGCGGTGGCCAGCTCAGGAGCTAAGTACAGGGGGGCAGCAAGCAGGGCCGGACAGGACGCTAGGGCCCTCAGCTTCTTTCCTGGGGTTGGGGAGCCCTGAGGGCTCTTCGCAGAGCCAGGGCTTCACCTTTATGGACCATGTTGCCACCTGCTGCTTGTGCCCGCACACCTGTGACAGGTGGTGGGGATCAGGGGAAAAGGCAGGTGGAAGGGTCCACGTGTGGTCCTGGAGACTGAGAGGGGACAGGCTGAGAGGACAAGGCAGTGACCAAGGAGACCTTGTTTCCTGTGCTCTTCCCACCCATTGTCAGTCACACGGCTGAGGTACCTGCTCTGACATACACCGGTGACAGTCTGTTCAAACTCCAGAACTGTGTGCCTACAAAGTCTGAAAGCCACTGCAGCTCGCGGTCAGCAGCACCCTTGAGTCTTTGTCTCCTGTTGGCTGTCAGTCACTTTCTCAGCGTGTGTATCTGACACCTATTTTCTAGGACGACTTGGCTGAGAAAGTGGGGCAGCGGCCTCAGCCTGCTGAGGGGCAGGCACTGTGGGGCCACGCTTGTTGCTGCTCCTTGACCACGTGGGTGCCAGTGAGCTGCCCTGGTGGGGGCACAAACGCCCCTCTCAGCCTATGAGCCAAGGCCAAGCGGAGGAAGAGCCTGAGGACACAGACCCCAGGGCACATGGGCACTAGATGCCATGAGCCAGGTGCCAGGCTGGGATACTCCTGCCAGGAGGACCTTTGCTGAGCGCGTGCCACTTCCGCTGTGAGCCAGTTAAGCTCCCCCAGGGCCTTGGCCAGCCTGGGAAGAACCTCAGATGCTCTCCAGCATTTTCAAAGAGGCTTTTGTAAAGCAGCTGGCAGTGTTAAAATGTGCAAAGAATCCATGTATCTATGGAGCACAGATTATTTCAGGGAGAAGGCAGCCAGGCAAATCCACTGCTCAGCTGTCAGTCACACCCACTGAAGCAGCCTAAACCTGCAGGCCACCTTGAGCTGGCACAGGACTGCCACCAAGTGCTGCTTCTGAAGAGGGGCACGGTGAGCACTGCCGGTCAGAAACACAGCAGACAGCGGATGAGGGTGCCGCAGGGGACAGAGGTGTGTCATGGGGCCCCTGGGGATGCCCAGAAAGGGGTGGTGAACCCCCAAGGGGCACCTCACTCCGGCTAGATCCTTCCCACTGAGACCATTTTTCACTTATTTGTGAAAATGTCTCAGCATTTGAGTCATGACAGTTACAAGGCTACTTTTTATAACCTTACAGAATAAGATTTTTTAAAACGTGTGTCCTTCAGCCAGAAAGCAAGGGCAGTGGATAGGGCTAGGGAGTCTTTTCCTTTGGTAACCAACTCGCCATCCCCACTCTTCCCAGCAGATGCTCATTTTCCTAACAAGATGCAGCTCTTTCTATTCAGATTGAGGTGAAGTCAGCTCCAGCAAGAGGAAAGCATGTCTCTGAAATAAGACACCCTGGGATATTTTAGGGAAGGAAAGCAGGAAGAGGAAGTAAGGGCAAAAGAGAAGACTTCCAAGGCAGCCTGGGCAACTGTGTGGCATGGGGGCACGCACCTGCTGGGAGGTGGGTCTGTCGGGGCACTGGAGGGGCTGCCAGGCCTTTGTCGGTCTGCCGCCGCATGGAGCCCTCTAAAGGGCCTTGCAAATTCACGAATTCTTTGTGATGTGGATGAAAGACATAGGGTGCAAGCAATGGGCTGGCCACCGGGGTCAGACCCTGTTGACTCAGGGCCCCGCCGCCTCTGAGAAATGAATGGACCCTCAAATAAGCAGCCACACCCAGGTCCCTCATGTCAAACTGCTTTATTACATCTTAAATAACAGTACAGTTTAATATAGTATCTATCTTGCATCCAGCTTCCTTGCAGTACACTGACTGAAGTAAAATTAAATACAAAAGGTGAAAAGGGGTACAGGTGCAGAGAGCTCTACAGAGTGGTTTATGGAAAGAGAAAGAAGGGTTTCGTTTTATTCTTTTGCCAACCCAGGCCTACCGCACAGTCACAGCACAGTGGGTACAGGGTGCTGCAAAGAACGGAATGGAGAAGCCACTATCGCTGCTACAGAGGAGTGCTCCCGGGGACTCCTACAGGAGGGAGGGCAGGAGAGCCAACAGAACACCCTGTGGTCTAAACGCTGCTGCTGGACACTTGAGGGGACAAGAAAACCCGGGAAAGCTACGTGTTATAAAAGTGGCCTGCCTCAGATGCAAAGGCTCTTCCCACAGGGGGCAGGTGTGAGGGCTCCTGAAGAGGAAGGCTAGATCTTCGTCCCCTGCTCCCTCCCCACTCCCGCCCCACCCTCAGAATCCAGCAGCAGTCGTTTGGAACAGGACATCTCTCTTAAAGAAAAAGGAAAAGGTGATGCGCCCACTGCTGGAGCGTGCAGAGCCGCTTGGTGTACTGCCTACATGTGCACAGAGCAGTGACAGGGTGGACAAGCCGCCGCGGCGACAATGGTGAAGGGTTACTTCTTAAAGAAAAAACATCTAAGGACGGAGTCCTATATGCACTTTGAGCATTTCTACAGCATGCGATTCTAAGAGTAAACCCACCCAATATGGCAAACGATCAAATTTTTTAAAATTTAACTTAAGAAAGTTTGAGATAATAATTTTCAAAACATTGATTTGTACATTGTTTCACACACAAACAATCGACTGGTGACCCAAGCGCAGGGCGGGCCTCTCCTGATCATGGGGGGTAGTGTCAGGTCACAGAAACATCCCTCCAACACCACAGAAAACCCGAGGGGGCTTCAAAACCGGGCTGAAGGGAGGAGAGGACAGGTGGGAGAGGGTGCCTGGTCTAAGCTGACTAGGAGGGGGCAGTTCCGAGTTGCACACTCACAGTGCCCACGGCGTGTGCTTGGCCTCACACTAATGCCACCTCCCCACGCCGTGTCTGTGCGTGCCAGGCACCATGACACTGAACAGAAAATAAACCCAGGGACTGAATTTACATCACAGACCATTTCAGGGAGGCTGCGTGAGACTCCCTTGTTCTGGGTGACTACTGAACATAAAGGAATATATTTAAAAAAGGAAATGTGAATGTTTTCAAAATCCTGCTACAAACACGACTTGAAATTTAGAAACTATTACAAGATAAAACAAAGTCCTCAACTTGTTTTGCATGAACGTCACAAAACAGGATCACTGGTCTAAAGTTCAAATAAACTAGTGAAAAGTTGTTGTCTGTTTCACAATTACACTCAAGTTTACCTTCTGGTTAACATTTTATTATAGTATTTCCTTTTAAAATTCATTCAAGACAAAAAAGAAAACAAAGACAATGGTCCCGAGAGGAATGCACAATTTGTTTTCGTTTACAGCCGGAGTCTTCTCTTAACGGGAATTGTGCTCTTTGTTTCAGCAATACGTGAAGGAAAAGAAGATCTTGCCCTTTTGAAGTTCTGAGGGGGGTGCTGGGGTCCAAGTTAGTACGGTTGGGCGGATATGCTATCACTGTAACTCGTCAGGGTTTGGAATGGTCTTCCAGTCACCGCGGAGCCCACCTGCCATTGTGAACAGAGTTTATATAAAGGTTAAAAAGAAACAAAAAATCAAAACAGAATCTACAATTAGTGTTGCTGCCACTGTGGCATGAAAGCTCTTTCCATGGCTCATCTCTGTGTCTGCCACCAAGGGGCATGTGCTTCATTTTCTCATCAACTCTACATCAAAATCTATCAACTAACCTGGAAAACACGAATCTCACAAATCATATGTAGTGAAAAACTGAGGGGAGAGCCAATACACATAGCCACACTTGGGAAGCCACACGGGCCACTCCCTACCTGTCGGCGTTAGTTCCAGATCTTGAGGAAGCTGTCCCAGGACCCCGTCGCCACCGCCATGCCATCGTCGGTCACCCCCAGGCAGCTGACACGGTTGTCATGCCCAGCCAGGACACCTGGAGAGCAAGCCACAGCACAGTCACTCCAAGGGCCCAGATAGGTCTCACCCACGGGGATGCTGTGACAGAAAAAGAGCCCAATCCAATCCCCAGTGGTCAAATCCCACATTGCGTCAGTCACCAAGGAAAGGACACCAGGAAGGGAGGGAAATATTTTTCCAAGTGGAAATCAAACTGGAGCACTATAATGGCCCATCTTGTTCAAGATGAGTAGGGTTAATATGATCCTTCTCTTAAAAATAACTTGAATGTGCCTATAGCCACAGGAATGTATTCAAATAAAACAAAAATATATTGAAGAACCTGGTAATAAATGTGCTATAACACAGTAGGGTGATAAGAGATTCAAAGGTGTGCAGACACACACACAGACAGAGAACTGTAAATAACCCAGAGCCTCTTACACTGACTTCTGAGCACTCAAGAAGATGTAAAAAGCCTAAGTAAAAAATGGAACGAAAGCCATAATCAAAAAATCAAAACCACTCCATCCCAAAGCCATTCACAACCCAGCATATGGGTAGGGGCTGTGTGTGACTCCTGGTGATGCCTGCAGCCAGCTTAAGCCTGGATCAGAGTTAGGGGGCAGGCGCTGGCAGAGGTGGCGCCCTGCAGTGACCCCTCATCCGGGGCATGCCTACCATTTAAACTTCCAACAATCTTCTCTTGGATAATTATCAGCCAGAACCTTCACCTTTGCTTCAGAGGAACTGGAGGGTTAATGTCACAGATACCCTCCTCCTTCAGCCCCTATACTCATTATTGTCACAGGAACAAGGGGGTGACTCAGAGCTCATGGTCTTGGGGAGGCCTGGGAGCCTCCACTCTCCTCGGCACCAATATTGCGGGTTTGAGAGGAGGAATACAATAAAAGGCAGGGTGTTCAACAAGCAGGGGAGGAGCACCTGCTGGAAAGCGGGGAGTCCTGTGAGGTGCCCCAAGGACCAGAGTTGCTCTCCCCGTTCACCCCTAAGACCAGCATGCCTGCCGATTTGATCGGGGCCCATGTTTCCAAATTCAAGTGCCCACATGTCATCTTCCACACAGAAAGTTTTCAGCTTGTGTGTGACCAGTGCTTTAATACACACCAATACCCACGGCAAAAGCAAACAGCACACTACAGTAACCCGCCTGAGTGTTGCAGGGGTGCTGCCTGCACCCACAGCCCAACAGCAGGGGATAGATATATGCCAAATGGTGGCCCAGAACATCCCTGCTACAGCCAGATGCCGAGTTCAAGCATGGCCCTCCCTTTTAACCACCAATTCTGCGACCTGACACCTCAGCTTGTTTGTTTCCTGGGGTGGGGTGTTTCCTGTGAGGATGGTGTATGCTGAAGTAGGGAGCTCAGTGATTGCAGAAACACTAGCAGCAAATGGGGGTGGGGTGAGAAGTGATGGGAAACAGAGACCTCAGTGTCAAACCTGGAAATCAGCCAGTCAGTGAGCTCAGCCGTGAGGTAAAGGTCCCACAAGTACAACCCTGGTCTTGGGCAACTTCTGGACACTTGGCTTTTACACATGGTTTTGGGACTAAATCATGGGTGAATTTAGGGGTCTGCTTGCATACTTCCCTGACAATCTTATGAATTTGTCATTTATTTATTATAAAGAAATGTACCCAAACTCAATATTCAGATCCTACGCAAAAATAAGGTCATAACGCAATCAAGTGAAAACCAACAATCACACTCAGTGTGTGCCAGTCCGAGGCCCCCCACTCGCTCCTTCTTGGGACAGTGCTCAGCTCTAAAGGCAGGATGGAAACGGAGGGCCACTGTGACTCAGGCTGGCACTAGAAATTAAACATAACTTAGGTCCAGGAGACCCCTTTGAAATTGATGAGATAAAACCCTTCCACATTTATGCCAAGAGCACTTCCCCCACTGTGCGCCACACTCGGAGTCGCACAACATGCCCTGCATCTCGGGAATACAGGACAGGAGTCACAGGGCACACAGCCACACAGGGCTGAGTGACCTGGCCACTGGCTCCAGAGGGGTGCACACTCCCCTACCCACTCTGTCCTTGCACATGCACTTATGTGCGAGCACATGGGGGGCTAGGATCACGCCCACTGCAGGTTGCATTATGAGCCTGCAGGCTTAGTTGGCCACAGCCTGACTGATACAAACCAAACATTCAGCTATACAAGTTGTGTCCGTGCTGGCAGATACTGTCAGAAGCGTCGGGAGCCACGGAAAGCCCCAGGGGTCACCTACCGGCCCTGTCGGCCTTGAGCGCGTCCCAGACATTGCAGTTGAAGTCATCATAGCCAGCAAGGAGGAGGCGCCCGCTCTTGGAGAAGGAGACAGAGGTGATCCCGCAGATGATGTTGTCGTGAGAGTACGTCATGAGTTCCTGGTCTGCACGGAGGTCGAACAGCCTGCAGGTAGCGTCATCTGAGCCAGTGGCAAACGCATTGCCATTTGGAAAGAACTGGAAAGAGAAAGCAAATCAAGACAATGTATATATGCTCAAAAAGGAACACTGGTAATGTGGTACTCAACAGCAGGACTGTGGCAGGTATGGTAGGAAAAGATCAGCCATCTGTACGCTGACTGTGTTTGCAGAGAAGGAGGAGGAGAAGCACCTGGCCCAAAAATCTCTTAAACTTAAAGATGGACGGTGCAGCTCCTGGAAGTCGGTTAGGTTATCAGCAGAGCAAGAGAAGGGGCATCCCTGTCCCCAGACCATAGTGCCCCCAGACTGTAGCACCAGCACTTACGCAGATGGCATTGATGTCAGACTCGTGGCCCGTGAAGGTTTGCCGACACATCCCTTCTCGCACGTCCCAGAGCTTGGCCGAAGCATCACAAGCACCAGAGACAAACAATCTGGTGTCTGGAGCAAGGGACAGACTCATGACGTCCCCGGTGTGTCCCGTGAACGTGGTTGTCTGCTGGCCAGTCTCTATGTCCCACAGTGCACTGGGCAGGAGCAGAGAAGAGGGTGTCAGACTCATCTGTGAAACAACCACTCACGGGACAAACTCAACTCCAGAATCACTGGGAATCTGCCAAGCCTCTGAGTTTTTACTTAAACAAACTCAAATGTGTAATGTGGTGTTGTTTAGAAGGGAAAACAAACAAACCAAAAAAAACAAGCCAGTAAATATACACAAGTACACAACCATAAGCTTAGAAGTTACAGAGGTCACTGTGATCTGTATGTTGACTCAAGCACCTCCTAACAAGGAGCCGAAGTGTCCCCTCCAGGGCAGAGACCCTGGAGATGGTGCTGCACAGAGGGGCATGTGGCCCACTGGCTCCATCTGGAAGAGGAGAAGACTGTGCTACCTGCGGCTGCCCCTCCCCTCTTCTACTCACCTCTAGAAGAGGCGGTGGATACGGAGATATCTCCAGGCAAATAAGGGCCCAGAGCGTTCTGAGGGCCTGCTGCCTCCTTGGGCTCACAGACAGGAGAGCAGCTGCCACTTTATGGCTGCGAGCTGGAACCACTGCCCTCAAAGCGCTGCACGGGCATAAAGGTGACATGCCAGCGGCACTCTGGCCAGAGCAGGAGCCCGCTGTTTAAGGGTGACTCGGAGGGCCACAACCTGTGCACTGTTTACAATTTCATGGTATCACTTGCCCCATGGGGCTCTGGCTTGGCCTGCCCTGAGCCTGCACACAGCCACACTGTGTCCACTCGACCCCCAGTGGGCTCCTCCCCAGCGCCCTTCTAGGGCTGAGGGGCCGCTGAAAGGAAGCAAGGTATTCCCGAAGCCTGAAGAAATTATTCATAAACAGCTTTTAAAACATCTTGTAATAAGGAAATCCTTCCCAAGACTGACAGTCTGTATTGTCAGTCTTTTGTGAATCCATGAAATTCATACAAAAAGGACCCTTTATAATACAACGACCCCCTTACTGATGAGTGGGAGAAAAGGCAGCCAGAGTCCGGCTGCCGGGCACGGGAACGGAACCTGCACTGTCAGGTGCCCCCGGCACTGAGCAGAGCCCAGCTGCCCCGTAGCTCCTCACCAACAAAAGACCAATAAAACCCACCAGGACAGCTTTGCATCTAAAACTTGTCTCATAAATAACTACCTGGTCCTTCAAATGATGTGCTACAGCTTACTGCAGTGGGCATCTATTAGTGAGGTAAAAATGCTCTAAAAATTAAGAAACCTGATAGAAGTCACCTAAAATTGTGACACCTGCGATTCTATTTTTAGCCATGCTTGGCATTAACAAGACGGTGAGACCAGAGGAGTGACAGACAAGTAAAATGTGCCCTACTCCCTCAAAGGGACATCACCTAAACAGGTATAAACACACAGGGGAGAAGAGAAAAGCAAGTACTTCACACACAACTGTGGTTTAAAGATCTGTATGGCAGTTCTTGATTGTTCAAAACTAAACTTTGAGTGTCAAAATCTAAAAACAGTATAATAAACAGCCTCATCATTCACTGCTGCTTTGTGTTTAAGATCTTAAGGCCATCTGAAGTTAAAGATGGTCCAATCCATGTCAGGAACTGTTTTCTCACATCTCACTTGGGTTCTCCTTATGAGCCTACAGGCGACAGTGTGAGCAGAGCCGAGAGGAGCCACGACCACCAAGCAGAGGACCACCCACGTGCGGCCCGCTCGGGCCAGCTACTTACCAGGTGGTGTCTCCAGAACTGGTGACGATCTGATTGTCATCCAGGAAGCGGCAGCAGGACAGGTAACCTGGCAAACAGGAAACCCCAATGAGGAACACGTCCAGCAGGCCTGGTGCTACACTCTTGTAAATACAAAAACGGTGTCGGCAAAATAAACATACCAGGAAGTCATCTAGGTTAAGACCAATCCAAACACCTTGTTGGTGAAGAAGAAACGCATCTGCCAGGAGGAGCGTTGTGGACATTTCAGGTGAAAACACACGTTTCCCTGGTGGGGGCCTTCTATGTGCTGAACCTGTTGCTACAGTGAGGAGACCATCACCATCCCCACCCCCTGTAGCCTACAGAGTGTGACAGGGGAAGGACACCCTGAACAAAAAGTCTGGAGCCTGGTAGCCACAAAGGCCAGAGACATAGCTTGGGAGGCCTTATGGTGGTCCCGCCAGAGGTGGTGTGGCTTGGTCCCAGGAACAGTATGGGGGAAGGGCTGGACAGGTCCCATAAGGTGGCCAACAGAGTGTAGGGAGGTGGGACCTGGTGCAGGGACAAGGCTACAAGAGTCCAGGGGAGCGGAGAGGCTCCAACGCAAGGCAGGACAGAGAAGAAGGAGAGCAGCAGCTCAGATTAAAGGACTGTTTCTGGGATAGAACTCTGGGTGGCCTGGTTTCTGGGAAGTAGTGGTGGAGAGTCTAACCATGAGATGCCCCAGAGGCCAGCTGGAAAGAAGGGCACACCTGGGCCTGGGGTCCAGAAAGTGAAGCAAATCTGGTCCTGGGGTCTAGAAAGTGGGGTTGTTAGTTGTTGTTAGGTGCCATTGAGTCAACTCTGACTCATGGTGACCCCAAGTGTACAGTGTAAAATTGCTCCACAGGGTTTTCAAGACTGTGACCTTTCAGAAGCAGACTGCTGGCCCTGTCTTTTGAGGTGCCTCTGGGTGGGTTCAAACTGCCAACCTTTCGGCTAGTAGTCAAGTGCTTAACCATTTGCATCACCTGAGGACCTACGCGAGCGTGTGCGCGTGCGCACACACGATATATTTAGCTTCTGACTGTAGGGACAGACTCTCCCTAGAAAATGAAGGTTCGGTCACCACAGTGGGTACTGGCAAGAGCTGAATGCCAGCGGGCGATTAAAAGGCTGTACTGAAGACCTCTGCTGCTACACTTCTGATCAGAATGCTTATGGATCTGTGGCCATCTTGACCAGAATGTTCTCAGAAAGGGAAAATGTGTCTATGTTTGCAATGTGAGGTTTAGGAAAAAAGAAACCTCTAAGACAAGTGTCAATTATGTCTACATTATCCCTAGGTGCCTGCTTTAAGCGTGGGTCGGATATTCTTGTTATCAAAATAAGGGCTGTTAGGGAGTTAATAAGGAGCCTGGGTGGTGCTCAGGTTAAGCACTCGGCTGCTAACCGAACGGTTGGCAGTTAAAACCCACCCAGAGGCTCCACAGGAGAGAGACCTGGCAATGTGCTTCTGTAAAGATTACAGCCTAGAAGACTCTATGGGGCAGTTCTACTCTGTCACATGGGGTTGCAATGAGTTGAAATGACTCGACGGCGCCTAACAATAACAACAGGGAGTTAATATTTTCTCAATTATAATCTAATGCCTTTGTAATTGTTACTTTCACCAAAACAGAACTTGGAAAATTTTATTCTACATGTAGTAAGTTTATAATTATATAAATGCTTCATTCTGATCAACGTGAATACTTTCAATTAGCCATTTTCAGAGGAATTCTTTATATTTTAAGACAAAATCTTTTTTTTTTTTTAATTTAACATTTCTTTATTGGAAAGCCCACAGGTTCAGGTTTTGATTAACACTGCATTAATCCATTAACACCATTAAATTTAGCACTTCAACTGTGTGAAACAATATATAGTTCAATATATAGTCTCCTTTTTTTTTAAAGTTTTTTTTTTTTAATTATTGTGCTTTAAGTGGAAGTTTACAATTTAAGTTAGTCTCTCATAAAAAAAATTATACATACGTTGTTATTTGTGACCCTAGTTGCTCTCCCTATACTGTGACAGCACACTCCTCCTTTCCACCCCGGATTTCCCGTGTCCATTCAACCAGCTCCTGACCCCACTCCGCCTTCTCATCTCACCTACGGACAGGAGCTGCCCATTTAGTCTCACGTATCTACTTGAGCTAGGAAGCACACTCTTCACGAGCATCATTTTATGTCCCATAGTCCAGTCTAATCTTTGTCTGAAGAGTTGGCCTCAGGAATGGTTTTAGTTTTGGGCTAAAAGAAAGTCCGGGGGCCATGTCTTCCAGGGTCCCTCCAGTCTCAATCAAATCATTAAGTTTGGTCTTTCTACTAGAATTTGAATTCTGCACCTCACTTTTCTCCTGCTCCATCAGGGACCCTCTGTTGTGTTCCCTGTCAGGGCGGTCATTGGTGGTAGCCGGGCACCATCAAGTTCCTCTGGTCTCAGGCTGATGGAGTCTCTGGTTTATGTGGCCCTTTCTGTCTCTTGGGCAAATACTTTCCTTGTGTCTTTGGTGTTATTCATTCTCCTTTACTCCAGGTGGGTTGGGACCAATTGATGCATCTTAGATGGCCGCTCACTAGCTTTTAATATCCCAGACGTCACTCACCAAAGTGGGATGCAGAACATTTTTAAGACAAAATCTTAAAAGGCAAAACACCAACAAGACAGAAAGCCCATCTGATGTTTTCTCTGAAGTACTGCTAAAGAGTTTCCAAAACCTGGGTACCAGACTCTAGAGAAAGAAGCTTCTGTTTGTTCCATATAGGTCTTTTGTTTATAGAAACAACAGCAACATACAATTGATTACCAACAGTCTCATCTGACTGTAAACGATGCCTCTGTACACCTTCAGAGAGGGTCATTAAAGAGCTGGGAAGGCTGCTGTGAGTATCCTAGGGAAGAACTGTTTTCTGTGCAACTGAGTTTCTAAGATTCTACAAGAAAACTTCTCAACCATGCTTAACAATGAGTCCCACACTTACAAGGCAAATGCTCAGTAGTATTTACTTTTTCGTTAATTATAAATGATTGTGCCCTACCCGTAGCACACATTCAATCTGTTCTCCCCAGGCGTGAAGCAGGTTTGTTTAGTCAATATTATTATTCCCTTTCCAAAATATCAATTTGAACTGGATCAGGGAGAAGATGCCATAAGTGATGAACATTAAACTAATCAGCTGGATCCTTAAAAGGTCTGAACAAGACAAAGGAAGCAAATCATCGACTCTGTCCAAACCATGAACCTCTCACACCTTTCCCCCCTTGCTAAAGTTAGACTCTATTTTAAGTTTATCAAATCTTAACCTTTACAGATTTGAAGTTGAAAATTATGTATCATGTCTGAAGAAGGCCATAAAAACTCTTAACAGGCCATATGTCTTTAAAAAAAAAAAAAAAAAAGGGAAACTCACAAGAAGTAAAACTGCATGAAATATGAAGGAAAAAAATCTCTGAAACATTCTATCTAGCACTTTCTCGTTTCAACACACAAATACTCTGATGTGTTAACAGATCCAACAGCACAGCCTTTAATCAAACATCAAAAGAGATATGCTGAATCTGATTAAAATAGAAGAGATGGCTAAACATTAAAATAGTATTGTTTTAAGAACTGTCAATTCATCAGCACTGTAACCAAGGTGGTCCCTGAAGTGTATAGCACTGGCTGAGGCTTCCGGATTGGAGCAGTGGCTCCCAGTGACATTATATATGAGCTGGGACAGTATGAACTCTAAGTGGATCATGAAAAATTACAGCAACCCCACGTGACAGAGCAGAACTGCCTCATACGGTTTTCTAGCCTGTAATCTTTATGGAAGCAGATCACCAGGTCTTTTTTCCCAGCGGAGCCGCTGGGTGGGTTTGAACCTCCAATCTTTAGGTTAGCAGCCAAGCACCGTGAAATTAACTACTGTATCACAGAATTCTAAAAAACATTCAAGGAATCCAAAAGAAGACACGAAAGGAGGAACTGAAGCACAAAAAAATAAAAATGACAAATGGAAAGTAAGTGGTGGCCTAACTGAACTATATCAATTTTACATGAAATAGAAATGAACTAAACACTATTTAAAAGTTAGAAACTCTTAGAATGGATAAAACGCAAGACCGACCTCCTATATGTTGTCTATAAGAGTCACATTTTAAATATGAAGACAGAGTTAAGTTGAAAGTAAATGGGTGGAAAAAAATTTACCATGCAAAAAACATGAGAAGACTGTGTGGCTATACTAGTATCGGATTAAGCAGACTTTAAGAAAAAGAGTTATTACCGAGATAAAGATGAACACTTCAGGTCAATTCATCAGAAAAACAGAACAATCATAAATGAGTGTTCCCCTACTAACAGAGTTCAAAGTATACAAACCAAGAATTGACAGAATTAAAGAGAGAAACTGACAAACCCACAATCATAAAGATTTTAACATTCCTCTCTCAGCAATTCATAGAAATAAAATATTAAAAACCTTGATCTAACTAACATATGTAGCAAGAACAGCTCCCTCCCCCAAACAGCTGCAGATGCCCATTATTTTTCAGTGCTCTCAGATGCTCACAACAGACCATTTGCCCCATAAAAACAAGTCTCAATGAACACAGAAGAAATGAAATGATAAAGATATCAGAATTTGTGGGATGAAGTTAAAGCCAAGCTCAGAGAGAAATTTATGGCTGTAAGTACTTGTATTTGAAAATAAAAAAGGTCTAAAATCCATGGCCTAAGGTTTCACCTTGAGAAGCTAGAAAATTCAGAAGAAAGCAACCCGAGTAAGCAGAAGGAAGGAGACAAGAGCAGAAATCAGTGACATGTAGGCAGCACATACGCACATATATTTGCAATGACAGGATATGCTCTTATTTGGCCAAAATTAACTTATTAAACAGACTACTTCACTGGTGTCAAAAACAGTACTATTTACTCAAAATTATGATGGCTCCTTTTCTGCATGTGAAGTACGTGAACCTAGTGGCGTCTTGACAAAAAAATATTGAGGGATAGAATTTTTGAGAACTGAGAACATAGCTAGAGAAGTAAAATATTAGGATGGGATCTTCTTCAGAAAAACTATACCTTTTCTTATAAATAACTAGTGTCATAGGTAAGTTACATCCTGGCAAAATGATATACCACTCGACATGTAAAGCTAGTCACGTTCAAAAGAACTCAAACAGCCCAAAGGACTCTATTCTGCCTCCCTGGCAGCAAGTGTGTAGTTGACATGAAGTCAGGGTGCATGTGCATGGGCACGAGTATATATTTCAATGAGGAAATTCCTGTGGAAAGGTGCTCAGAGTGGGAGATGGCTGAGGGCGAGACAACAGAGTGAACTGTATCGTGTTAATGTAAAAAGGAAGGTGGCTGCTGCCAGCTCCGAAGGGAGTGACCCAAGTGCCAGGTCCTCAGACACCGAAGTTAGAACCTCTGCATCACTCTCACCCAGAGGCTTTTCACTGAACTAATCTCATAAATAATTATTGGGAAGCAGTTAAGTGGCCAAAGCATAGAATGCACCCCAGGTCAACAGTGTGTATGACATCAAGGTTATTAACGAGAATGCGATGTATACCTGTGTGTCCAGCCAGCTCACGGCTCACGCGTACATTCCCTTCACGAGTCTTCAGATTGTAAATGGAGCAGATGTTATCAAGGCCACCACAGGCCACGTAGTTCCCAGAAGGGGCGTATGCACAGGTCATGACCCAAGAGGAGCGCAGAGGAATGGCGTGGACCTAGGGGACAGGAACACGGGTGACGTAAATATGATCACGTTCAGACTTTTTAACTATCAGTACTACAATTTTATCTCTAGTCTCCAACTTTTTTTCCATAGAAGGTAAGAGAGCAAAATAAGGGCCAATATTACTTGGAGAAAGAGTTATTACCAGAGACAAAGACGGACATTTCAGGTCAATTCATCAGAAAAACACAACGATCATAAATGTGTGTTCCCCTCCTAACAGAGTTTAAAGTATACAAAGCAGTGCTGCATACAGAAACACCAACTGAAGTTTTCTTAAAGTTACACCTTAAGGTTAAGTAGACACTTAGGCAACGGCAGCACTGCCTCCTGATCAAAACTGCACACTAACAGGAAGACACTTCAGTGGTTGGTTAAGATGGCTGTAAATTCATTTAAAAAACAAATTATTTCTACTGAAGCAAACAAACTGGACATTATCATCATCAATCCTGCCGCATACCTCCCTGTAAAGTATTGTAACCTTGTACACACATTTAGGATTCTCTAGTAAAATACAATTGAGTCAGATCTCTTATGTACATGTTTGAACCAATGATAGTACTTTTTCATTTACTATGATACAACTTTGGATTAAATTTCAAAAAGAATCTAACAATCAATATTTCAAATTATAATGCTTCTCAGATCATTTTTTGTAAAATTAATAACTAAATGAAAAGCTGTATTTCTACAATGTGTGAATAAAACATATAAAATCTCCCAGATTGAGCTAGAACTAGAATGCAAGTCTCCCAGGAACATAAGGAGGTACTCACCTCCCACCTGCTTTGTCCAAAGATGACAAACTACAGCAGAACTGTGCCTGATCCATCAGAAGAGACAGAAATGTCTGCTGGCCACACGATCGGTCTTCTACCTCACCCACGTGACTTTACTACTAAAGAGCTCACTGTGATCCCCCCTCGCTACTCCGGGTCATATGTTACAGCATGGATGAATCCAGAGTCAGAGAATCCACCACGTCTGGGATTCTCAGGGAAGGGATTGTGCAGTCCCTTACCTTGTTGGTGGTGTAGCTATCCCAAATGATAAGTTTGCCATCCTGCGAGGCACTAACTAGCAGCCTGGAAGGAAAGACAAAAGCAAACACATCAGCACCAGCACAACGGAGAACTCGCACAAAGGCAACAAGTGAAAACTCGAACTCCAAGGACTTTTAATGTGTGCTTCAATGTTTCATCTGCTTGAGACAAAGCATAGTTAACTTTAAGCAAAAAAAAAAAAAAAGTTAAATGTTAGACCAACTTTGCAGGCATGAAAGAAAATATTCTCATAGATAATAGTTTAGACTTCTCGGCTCTGAATGCAGCCTCAAACAACAAGGCCACTCCCTGTGTTAGCCAAGATGGGTAACTTCTTCTCATAACTGCTTCTTTGGTTTCTTTTCATTATAAATAAAATTTGACACACACAGATCTTTCAAAAGCCAAAAGAATGGAAAATATTTAGTATACCATTTCTGTCCCATTCTGACACAGAGAAGGCCTGGACATAAAGGAATAATAAGCTTTAAAATATTCCAAATTCATGCGACAGTCCCCTCCCCAGACTCTCCCCACAAAAAAGCATGAAATTTTCCAGAATGAGCTACAACTGGAATCCAGGACTCTTAGAGACATAAGGAGGTCTCCCACCTGCCGTGTTAAGAGATGACAAACTATAGCAGAAGGAGCCTGGTACGTGAGAAGAGACTAGCACCACGTCATGAAGTTTTTTCATGACTGGGCAACTATGCTAAGTTTGGGATCTGCATGTTGGAAGGTGCTCTGTATATACTTCCAGAATTAAACACTGCAAAAGGAGTCCATGACTAATGGGCCACGGAACTGTATGTGAGTTACTTAGAAAGCAAAGTGAGTGAGACGGAGTTTGTACACTGCCCTCAGGATTCTGGCCTGCGGGGGTGCTGCTTTCAATGAACTGGACAAGAATGGGCTTGCAATTCTATGCAGAGGTATTCTGTTAGTGTGGTAAGTAATGATGTAAAGATTTTAGCAAGACACACAAGTTTGAAACATTTCACCAGGAGTGTACTTTGCTTCTTGAAGGTGATCAAGAGCTGGAGGTAATTCACTCCAGTCACTTTGATAACTTTGATGCTTTCGATCAAACTTGATGTTTCAACGCAGTAAGCACAAATTTCCTTTACAGAAGTCAATAATGAGTTTGGCATGGAATAAAAACCTTTTCAACACTGCATTACAAAATTTATTACAGAACTAAACTAATTACAGGCTCCAATCAAATTATTTTTCAGCTGCAACTTCTTAAAGTAAGTTCCTGCATCTAGGTTTGATGATAACCGCATTTCCACGCAAGGTATGAGTTCCGTCTTCGGCTCTACTTCTGTGTCTTTGCCCTCCTTGCACAGGCTGCGAGCGGAGTCTCAGGGCTGCTCTAAGAGGGGCTCATCGGCTCATCCTGGGCCCAGAAGGTCACCTTTGGACATGCTCCCTGGCTGGAGAGCCTGAATAATGCTGACTCGCAGAGCGGGTTAGAGGAAACATTAAGCTGCCCATTTATCCTTCCAGAAGGTGAGAGAAGACATGCCTCTTAATCCCAGGTCAGATAACTGTTCAAGAACTGGGTCTACTTTGCCTCCTAGAGCTTTCCCCGACATACACATCCATGATCTTGCCAGCCACCACCATAAGAGAGACAAAAGCCAGGAGGTAAGCCTAGAAGGCTCCAGGCCACTGAAGGCAGAAGCCAAAGTGCAACAAACATCTAAAGTGTTCGCATTTTACTCCAAGCCTACTTTGGTTTAGTTGTATTTCACCCCTCAATATAACCAGACTTTAGCAGCCAAGAAAAGAACTTTAGAAAAGGTAAAGGAACTTTAACTTTAGTACATGTGACTGACAAGAGAATCTCAAATGTTACAAAACGTGGAATTTTACTAAGTAGAAATAAATATATTATAAATATGCTGATGAGCATATTATAAATGGATACATAATATACACTTGCACACACATATATACATAAACCCATCATTGTAGGCCTCTCATGTAGTTTTGAAAGACAAACAGCTAACCATCCAACAGCTTGAGAGCACCCATGAATTATACAAATGTACTAAAATAACTGCTATACCTAATTACGGCTTTGAGTCATGAAAAAAAGGAAATCTTATACAATATCCTCTGTTTATGAAGGTAGGAAATTGAAGAATGTGCATCCAAAATTAAAAACAAACACACCTGTTTTGGACTCTACAGAGGCAAACATCTGCCTATCTAGAAAACATGGCTATCTAGAACAAATAACCCCTAAGAGGCTCTGGATAGCAGAGGGCTTCTATTAAAAAAAAAAAGAACAAAAACAAATTTTATTGTGTTTCCAGTGAAGGATTACACAGCAGTTTAGGTTTCCATTCAACAATTTCTACACAAGTTGTTCAGTGACGCTGGTCACATTCTTCACAATGTGTGAACATTCTCATTATTTCTGTTCTGGTTGCTCCCTTTCCATGAATCTAATTTCCCTCTCCCCTTACATTCTCACCTTTCTTCTAAAGTAACTGTTCACTGATTGGTCTCATACAGGTGATTTTTAAAAGCAGCACAGAACTCACAGGCAATATTCATTGTTTTTTTTATCCAATTTGTTATTTGGCTGTTATTCAAATTGTTATTCAATTTGTTATTCAAGATTTGAAGAGTAGTATCTCAGGGAGTCCTCCACTCTCAACCAGTCACTAGGTCTGTATTTTTTTTTTTAATTTGAGGTTCTGTTTCACATTTTCTGCCATTCTATCAGGGTCCATCTACTGTGGCTCTGATTAGAATGGTCAGTAATGGTAGCCAGGCACCCTCCAGTTCTTCTGGTCTCAGAGTAGACTGACTACCATCGTGTAGACTATTTGTCCTACAGACCAGTTCCTTCTTTGAGTCCTTGATTTCCTTCTTTCTCTTTTACTCCAGGTAAGTAGAGACCAATGGTTGTATTTTAGATGGCAGCAGAGGGCCTCTTACTACCATTCATGTTTTTTCTTCTTCTGTTTATGATGGTAAAAGAGGACCTCCATATAAGAACACTACAGAAGTGTAACTGTCCAGTGTGAAGAGCAATCATAAATCAGGTGCACTGCTACCTACCACCGTGGCCAAGATCGAGAACAGGACCAAAACACACCCCTCAGCTTCCTGGGTGGCCTCCCAATGCCACTTCTCCTTCCTTGCAGGGTAACCACCATCCTGAACTTTATGCTGCTTGTCCACTCCCTGGCTTTTCTTCCTCCAATCCTGGGGCTTTCAAAGCACAGTTCTCATTTGAGACCAAGACTGAACATCAAACCTTACACACAACGGCCTGGAACCCCGAGTGGTCAGCATCCGCTGGACCCTTCTACCTCACCTGAGGCACGTCACAGCCCCACTGCTCTGGTCAAACACCTCTGTTCCTGGAACAACCCAGCTCTTCTCCGGCAGCGCCGAACACCCTTCAGTCAGCTTTGCATGAGGCCTTCCTGACCACCTGAGCAGGAATTCAGGCTGCCAAAGGAGAGCACTTTGCTTGGGGAGCCAAGGTCACTCCCGGGCTCAGATATGATAAAATACTGATGAACCCACAAATGGAGTCAAAGTCCAAAATGCAACACAGTACTTGGTTATCATCTACTTCTGATAATACAATCTCTAAAGTAGATTGATTAGTGAGGACATTTTTGTTTCTTCTGACTACCGTCATCATTAAAACGATCTAAACTAGTTCTTATTTGCATATGGAATTGTAGGGGATACTGTATAGAACAAACTAAAGATAGAATCTTTTCTCTAGTTGTTTACACTTCAAAGCAGACAATTTCAAAAACAAAGTGAAAGCCAAGCAGAAAATTCCATTCTGATAAACACACACAAAAAAATACTACTCAAGGAAAGGCATGTTAAGAATAGTATGTTAGGTGTTTGAAAAGAGCATGTTATAGTCACACAACATTTTCTTTAATTATCTGACTCAACTTCTTAATTTTTCTTTCATGACAACAAATGCATTCAGGTTATTTTCCCCTAGAAAAACAAAGCCACCCTTGAATGCACGAGCACCATCCCCCACTCAACGCCCAAATACCTGGAGTCTGTGCCCCAGTGCATAGCGTAAATCTTGGCCAGGTGCCCCCTCAGCGTTCTCCTGGTACGCATCTGGATTCTTCCCACAGGGTCGATGTTGTTTGTGATCTTAAAAAAGAAGGTTGCACAGTCTGTAATGAAGTGAATCCACACACCCCCGAGCTCCTGCCTTGCCCTCCATTCCGTTCAGGCAGTGTCCCTCACGCATAGTCTCCACTCCATCCCTACCCCAGGATCAGTCCCCGGGCAACTCGAGGACCCAAGCTCTTCACCTGACCCAGCCTGCTCACAGTTGCCCATCTCAAACGGCTGTTACCCTGACACTCTGCACCTGACCCCTTTTGTGACTCCTACTCTGTTGTTCTCTGGTCTCACTGCCCGCCCCCCCTTTCAGGCAGCCTCTCTCTCCACGCCCCCTCCCCGGCACACACTCGCAGTGCTGGCCGCTGGCCAGACACACTTGACCTCACCCTCCTCTCTGTTGTCTCACTTCCTATTTACCCAGGCCCGACTCCTCCCCATCCTTATAGCACCACTCTTCTTCCAAATCGCAGCCCACCCCATACCATGTAGTAAACTGGCTTTGTGCTGACATGCTGCCTGTGGCTTAAACAGAGACAAGTCAGCATCTGTACCTGCGCTGCTACTGCTCATAGCATCAAACTGGATGCAAATACTTGTGAATTCACCCCAACATATCAAAACACCTCACATTAATGATTTCAGGTTCACAAAAAGAAGGTTGCACATTCAGTCTGTAATGAAGCGGGAGTTTCTTCAGATGAAAAATAAACATCATCACAGTAGTGGGTTTGAAAAAATGTACAGTCCAAAGTGTATCTAAGAATTCAGGTAAATCTATGTAGAATAATCTTCTTCTTTAGCTTACGGTTTAGCCCCAATTAAAATGCGTCCCTCAAAGCATTAGGAGAATATTAAAAATTAATCATCCTCGGTAGAAGTGTGAATAATTTTCACATTTCTATTCTTTGGCTTTAGAAATTGAAGTTCTGAGGCAGGTTTTGTTAAACTTATAGCTTCTAAAGATCTTATTTTAAGACATTAACAGTATTTTACGACTATGACCTCTATTACAGAAAATAATGAGTTAAGGCTTGAGAGATGTTTATTTTTCATTTCAAGAAACTCCTACTTCTTATGCCCATCATCATCGGAACGGCAATCTTCAAGCAGTGGCTGTCAGACCTCACTGTGCAGAATTAGAGCTGGAGCAGAGTTCAGTCTAGACATCCTTGGTGTGAGCACTGCCGAGCACTGACCCCTAGCATCAGCAGATGGCTCTGGATGATTAAAGTGGCTCTTACCTGAGAGAGAGTTGCATCTGCACATGCTTTTCTTGCATCCTAGGAAATAACAACCACAAAGGGAAATCAGTAATGCTTCAGACACATTCGACTCTACGCCCTCACATCAAGGTTTCAGACAGACCCTCTATAACTGCTAGAGGCAAAAATAGAACTCAAACGGTCTCCTTCCCTCTCCCCTAATACCCCACCATCCATCACAGTCTTTGGACCATCGAGGCGATAGATATTTAAGTCTATGCTCTAGACCACACCGAACACAGAGAACTGAACATACCCACGTATGTTTAAGACCTGCGGGTCACCTCACCTGGCCACCAGAAGACTCCTGCGAGCTCGGAGGCCCACAGTGGAAGCCTGAGGCAGCAAGTGGAACCTGGTGCTGCTGCCTCCCCTTCCTGCCCATGCCTCCCACTTGGTCTTTATAACAGCTCATGTGAAGTCAAAAGGGATGGGGCCTGCGAAAAAAGGCCTAAAAAGACCAATGTCCAGCCCAAAGAGCTTACCCTCTAGACTGTATTAACTAAGGACTTTACTTTCAAGCACATAATCTTTAATTCTGAATTCTATCGAAAAGAGAAAGGGATTTGGAGTCAGGTAATCAAATTCAGATAAGACTTTGCAGACTATACTGTATGAACTATAGAGATATACTTGTGTAAATTAACTTTTTTTCATTGCTACTAAGTAAAAGTTAGTAGAAAATAAATTTTGAAATCTCAAATTAGCAGATATACTTTTAAATTGAAAGCCAAATATTATGAAGGAAAGTGAGACAATAGCTCTAAAAGGTTCAAAATTTGGGTGTAGACAGCTGGTAACTTCACAAAATTTCAAAGGAAACAATTTTAAAATTATGACAATTTCTAATAAGAAAAATGTTTCCACTACACAGTCATTTGACTACCCACTTCCCAAACGTCAGTTAGCACCTACATGCATCAGGCGTCCTAAGCTAGAATGTCAAGTAGGGGAGGTTTTCCTAGGTGACAGTCACTAGGCACAAACGGCCTCACTGTAAATGATTTTTATTTTACAAAGTCGGTAAGAATATTTATCAATGGATAATGTATAAATATATTAATAGAGATTATATTACAAATATAACAAATATCAAGATCCCAAATTCAACTTCAATTATGCTATTAAAAGTCATTCTGTTTATAAGTGAAACACAAAGAAGTTATCTAATCAAGTATTTCTATGCCAGCAACGAAATTCAGGGTAAGGAGGAATACAATGGGAAGATTCAGAGCAGTAACTCTTTTTGTCAGAATTTACCTATCAAGTATTGAACTGAGTATTTATTTCTGAATGCTATTCTTGTGGATGTTATATTTGCCTTTTAAGTTTAAAAAAGAATAACAAGAATTTTTTAAAGGAGAAAATAAACCATGGAACTTGAGCAATTTCACTCTGGTTAGCATCCAAAGATCAAAACAGGTACAAAATGTACTGAATAACAGACTGTGGTGATACTACTGTTAAACAATCATTTCTAAAAACTAAACACAGATAACTTCAATTAGGTCTTCATTTTATTCAACGGATGCTTATGTAAACTGGTACAGCGTCTCTCAGAACAGACAGCTTGAACTTTTAAGACTGCAGGAAAAGTCTTTTAATGGGAACAAGCTCTGTAACTGCTTGATGAAGACAGAAACCTTTAACATTTTTTTAGATTAATTTTGATTTTAACTCAGGAAGATGTGTAGAACGGATATATTTAGTGCAAAAGCTTCTATACTGTCTATGATGAGAAATGTCACCAAATATAAAAGTTTGCCTTTTTTGTCTACTTAAACCAGAGGAATATATACAAGCCATCAATCAGATTTTGGTCAATTCCTTACCCTATCTGGATGTGTGTCACACACAGGACAATGCACAGAGGACCCCTGCTTAGCTCACGGTCCCTAGCAACAACTTGGACTAAACGTCCCAGTGAAGCTGGCCTGCCACACTGGTGAGGTACCTTTGCTCACACAAGTGGGGGCATGTCACTTTGTTTAAAAAACTATTAAAAAATCTACATTGATACATTTTGCTGGCGTTTTCCTTAACCCATCAGTGAGTTACTCGTACATTTTAAGGCATGCCATTTTCAGTCAGCACTCCTTTTTTGAGCACCTTTGTTTCCTCACAAATAGAATCAGAAGGGGGAGGAGACAGTCCTTCAGGGGCTTTCAGCTTTAAAACAATTTTAAGACAGAAACAACTTCTCTTAGCATTACCTACCACTTCTTACTTGTTTCCTTATGCTCTGCTTTCTTTAACAAGCATGTATTCCTTTGGGAACTAGAAACAAAAATGTGTGTGTGTGTTTTTTTTTCTTCTTTTAAAAGCAGCAGTGATTGTCTGCCTTTTCTATCTGCTGTAACAGACTCAAACAGCCTTCAAAACCTGTTGCCGTCGAGCTGATTCTGACTCAGCAAGCAACCCTATAGGACAGGGTAGAACTGTCTCGTAGGGTTTCCAAGGAGCTGCTGGTGGATTCAAACTGTTGACCTTTTGGTTAGCAGCCTGAACTCTTAACCACTGGCTACCAGGGCTCCTATACTGTGCAAAGAAACTCACATGGCACCTAGCACAGTGCTCTACAGAGACAAAGGCTGTGAAAATGTCGGCAGAGAACTGTCATCACTGCTGCATGAAGCTCAGCTGCTCTCCTAGGGAATGGTCTAGAACTGCACTGTCCCAAATGGGAACCTCGAGCCACAAGGGGCCACAGAGCACCTAAGATGCAGCTCGTGCAAACAGGTATGCCAGTAAACATAAAATACACACTGAATTTTGAAGACTTAGTATGGAAAAACAATGTCAACTATCTCAATAAAAATGTATTAATCACATGTTGAAACGGTAATATTTTAGATACACTGGCTTAGATAAAATTTATTAAAATTAATTTCACCCGTTCCCTTTTATACTTTAATGTGGTCACATGGATGTATGCAGTTGGTCACGTGGCCCTGGGGTGCAGGCAGGACCGGGGTCTTCACACAGCAGAGCACCACCAACTGTTCCTCTTTCTAGAAAATGCAAAGGTATGCAATGTCCAACGTCAACCTGTTTTTCTTTTTTCAATCTGGATATGTCTTTCACATGTGCCATACAAACTTTATCTGTTATGAACAGATTTGAATCCACTACTTACAAACAACAACATACAGTTGTCAGAAAAACCAAATTTCTTCAAATAGGCCAAATCATACTATGGTTAAGACGATACTGCAGGCTAAACTTAAATATTTAAATTAGTTAACTTAAAATAAATGTTTAATACAGCGTCCTAGTCCCTCTAAATTCTGATTTTAAAATTCTGAGTCATCAGACTTTTTGGGAATGAGAGGAAGGAATAAAATCTCAAAAGTAGATGATAAACAGCCGAGAGTATTTTGAATAAAAAAAATAATAACCCAATTCAACCACTACTAAGTAATAACTTAATGGTTTTGCTTTATTTATTTTTTATTTACAAAAACACTGCTGCCTCAAAATGAACTGTCCAGAAGCTTAAGATTTAAGTCAGGCAAAATCTTAAGGGAAAACTTTCTGGTTTCATTTAAATAACATATTTCTGGGAATTGTTTTATATCAAACCTAACAGTTTAGAATGCATTTCATTCATTCTGTGTGTGTGTGGAGGGGTGTTAACTAGACACATTATGCAAGTCTTATCAGAGCAAATCTTCAAAAAAAATTCTTAAAAGTCTTCCTCATTTTTTTATGGAGCTGTATGTGATCTTTTAAATATTAAGATTTGAAATTCTTACAATAAAAGGCTATTTTCTGTTTCCTTTTTGACTGTCGATCTCAGATAATTCCAATAACTTTTCTCCAGTTCAAGAAAAAGCTGGCTAAAATGAACATGGTGTGTGTTTCTCCAGTTACTCTTAGGGTTTGTGAACATATAATGGGACATTTAACATGAAATAATTAGGCTTTATCTTTACAGTCGATTCAGAAAAATAAACTGTTGTCTGGGCACGTACTGGATGCTCTCAACTTCTCGTCAGAGATGCTCTGAAGGACGGCTAATACCTTAGAGATGAAAACAAGAAACCAGGGAGTAAGCCCCTTCATCAAATGGACAAAACCTCTCTGACTATACTGAGGATATGATTCTTCCTGATAAGTCCACGTTTTTTCTCTCACTCTTCATATAACAGTCTGAGAACAGAAGCACCGATTTGTACTCAATGTTTTCTATAAAATATTCATTAAAAGCACTGCCTCAAGACATTGGAGAGTAGAATTAATTTCTTTTAGAACTACACCCCACTCCCTTTAAAAGTTCATGGGTTCTACGATTCAACATTGTATATCAGTCATAAGTTGGAATTTAATTTTTGAGAATTCTGTGAATGCTATTCTTTGTACATTGCAGTCTAATTATACATGGTTGTTTTATTAAATTTATTAAAGGCTATAGATTTCAAGAATCACTCCTAGGGAATACGGCTTTTCAAAATTAAGGATAAATAAATCAGGTACACCTAAAATATTTTTTTGTTGTTGTTCTTTTTTTTTTTTTTTTAACAAATTTCCTTTCCTCAACTTAATATTCACAATATTTAAGGGAGAGGCAGACACCACACCTTGAGTATAGTGACCAAAACAATGTCACAAAACTAAAATTCCCAAGGTTAAGAATTAAAAGTACAAAAAGGTGTTTATAAATTCTATGGAAACATTTTATGTACATTCAAATAACAACGTATAATGTACTAGAAAATAAAATCCTGAAAGCGTGCACTAGGTCGAGTATCTGAATCTGCAATGTGCATCCCCTGGGCCAACCTTGATTCACAGTCATTCTGTAGCCCTTCTTTCCCAAAACAGATGACACCTGACCTGAAGCCCACATGATTAATAAAACTCAACACATATGTAGCTACGTACTCTAATTTGGTTTTTAAGTTGTTCGGCCTCCTGCCGTAGCTGGTCAAGTTCACTCATCTTCTGATCTTAGTGCTCTTCAATGTCACCACAAAGAATCTGGGATCTGAAACAGAAATGCAAGCACACAAAATATAATAAACAACTGTTGAGTAATTCAATGAAGCAGGTGATAAAAGCAAATTGAAATTTTGAGAGCTTTGGTTCATTATAAATCAGAGCCCTTTTCTTTAGCACTCATCATGCCATGAAATGCCTCCGTAGAGCTGGGTTAATAAAATACAATTGCAATTATTCACCTGGCTTTGTATAATATGACAATGTCTAATTTACTACTAAAAATATGGTGATGGACTGAAAAAGGAAAATCTGGTAAGAAGCTTTTTTTCTGAAAGCATATGGATCTCACTGTAAACACAAGAACTTAAGAATGAAAAAGTAGGTAAAACACTGATAACTGCTCTCACACAAAAACCCAGAAGTGGTTACCTCAGGTCATGAGTACAGTGGCAAACTGGCAACCCAGCACCTCAAATCCACTCAATGATCTTGAACCCACAACCAGCCAAAAGAATGTTCACATGGCAAGTCTAAAAGGACATGGCATGGTGCCCAGCAGTCCTTGGGTTCAGGAACAAACCAGGCCCCCAGAGAAAGAGCTTGGGGTCCCAGTGTGCTCACTGGCAACACCTCAATCTTGCAGGTACAGGTTAAATTAGGATCAGTGCAAGCAGCCTGTCCGCCCACCGTTCCATCATATCAGACAGTATTCCTGAAGTTAGAGTCAAATGAAAGCATCCTGTTAAACCAGACTGATTTTCCCTGGGTAATGTCATAATTGAGGTTGCATTTCTGACCAAGAATTTGGTGTTAAATCAATCAGAAATATGTCTAATGTACCACAGAGGTGAAGATATAATTACCAGCATTTTTAATCCCTTAAGAATAAAATTAGCTTCCACATGCAAATATGGCTTATGCAAGGGCTTCACTTTCCTATGCAAAGATACTGGGTGAGAAAACACCATCACAAATTTTACATAAAAATCATGATTGATACAATATACATCAGATATTTAATTAACAGTAATTGTTTATTTTCTTGGGATTGAAATACATCTTGGGGAAATTAGCTAGGCGCTCGGCTGCTAACCGAAAGGTCTGTGTAAAGATTAACAGCCTTGGAAATCCTATGGGGCAGTTCTACTCTGTCCTATATGGTCACTATAAGTCAGAGTCGACTTCACGGCAGTGGGTTTGGTTACTCTGCACAAAAACATTAAAAAATCATGACTATATGTTCTACATTATAAATACTTGATGTATATACTTATTGATGACAATAAAAATCTCTCTTCCAATAAGAAACGTTTTTAAAAAGTGTGTGTGTGTTCCTGACGTGGGGTGAGGAGACATTACCCCATAATGGTTCTTATAGTTCATCCTTACTGGCCCTGCATAGTTATTCATGGCTGTACACTGCAGTAAGCCGGGCAGAGAGCAGAGGGTGACAGCGCCTGATGCGCTGGAGACATCAAGCAGCAGTATCAGTGGACTGCCACACTCCCCCGAGAGGCAAAGACCACCTCAAAGTCAGAGCACTGACCCTAAATGGGAGTTCACAGCACTGCCCAGACAGGCCTTCACCTGGGCATCGAAAACAGAAAGCTGAGGTGGCAGAACTATCTGGGAGTGCCAGCCAGGCATCTCGAATCAGTAAAAGGCAATGCCCACTGCTTCTACTCTTTGGGAAGGCAGGCCACCAACTGACACATTTTTAGAAATGTTTCTGACCAAAATAGATGCTCCTCAAGTCATTACTCTAAGTGGGCATTCTGGTCACATGGACCCTCCCTCCTTGGACAAATGAAGCCCGGCTAAAGGTGGGTACAGGAGAGGCGACACCCCCTAGACACTTCATTCTTAAGGAATAATGATTTTTTTCCTCTGGTTTTCACATATAAATTCTAAGGACTTCAGTTTACAAATACTAATTATGAAATAATACAACTGCCAATAAGATATTAAATAACATTTAAAATGGAAAGCTGTGTTGCTACAACTTTGCAGACTTGGGGTAGTTTTATTCTAGCACCTCCCCCCACCCCCACACTAGAGAACGGCTCTCTTTATACAATCCTTCCTCAAATCAACAAGAAAATTAACAGCTAATGTTGTCATAGGGTATACTGAATTATATGGTTAATTTTAGTCCACAAACATAATTTCTGATCATAATTTTAAACCAAAGCTAATTTTTAAAGTGAGGGGCTGAAACCAACAAACTCCTAAGATATAGGTAAAGAGTACTTTTTGAGATGCCTCAGAAAATTATGTTCCTCATGGCTTGGGAGATCTAGGCAAAGGCTGGAATTCTGTATTAGATGGGTAACTCCTGAGATCTTAAATTTAAATGTTTGTCTGAAGCAAAGATTGTTTTCACATATTATAGAAGAGTATGTACATGACAATCACCCAGCTGTATTGCTTTAGACTAGAAAAATGAACTTATGCACAGAAAAAACCCAGACGTTTCTCTTTTGTCAGTAAAGAGCAGAAATGAGCGACATGACCTTTTGACTACCACTCCCTCTATAATCAATGCCCACGTGTGTGAAGGGAAGGAGCACACAGGTCCATATAAAATAGCTGAACTTGAAGAAGCATAAAACATTCCAACTTCCATAAATCCAAAGTCCACACCAACCATTTCGAGGTCCAAATCAACTGTGGAGAGAGAGAATGAGGCAGTCAGGGGCCTGACAGCAGCTGGCGGATGCTGCTTGTGAAGCTATGCCCGTGTGAGCCATCTTTTCCTGTAAACACAGGGAAATGTGGATAGTGGTTGCTTGTGGAAAAAAGACATAGGGTAGGGGGGCTTTTACTTCTCACATCATCCCTTTATATATAGCTTGTTTGTTTTCTAAAAAAAAAAAAAAGTTAACAAAGGCTATCTGGAAAGTATTGCATTGGGCAAATCCAGACAACGAATAAGGAAGAATTGCTGCCTTTGAATTATGGTGTTGGTGAAGAATATTAAATATACCATGGACCACCGGAAGAACGAACAAATCTGTCTTGGAAGAAGTACAGCCAGAATGTTCCTTAGAAACAAGAATGGCAAGACTTCGTCTCACATATTTTGGACATGTTATTAGGAGGGACTAGTCCCTGGAGAAGGATATCATGCTTGGTAAAGTAGAGGGTCAGTGAAAAAGAAGACCCTTAACAAGATGGACCGCCACAGTGGCTGCCAACAATGGGCTCGAACATACAGTAATTGTGAGGACGGCACAGGACTGGGCAGTGTTTTGTTCTGTTGTACAGAGGGTCACTATGAGCTAGAAGCGACTCAACAGCACCTAACAACAATAATAATCTGCGTACTGGGGTCAAAGGGCATTTTTTCCCTACACTTTTCATCAGTTTAAGAAAAACTAATTAATGTTAACTTTGAAACATTACTAGATGAACTATAGGATCACTATGAGTCGGAATCGACTCAACGGCAACGGGTTTGATTTTTTTTGGTAGATGAACTATCAGATATCACTAAAAGCAATAATGAAGACATTGTAATAACACAGAAAAATGTTTCATATATATTAAATGAAAATTAAAATATAAATTTGCATATAATATTTTCAGCTATGTTAGAACAAAACTATGCCTATTAAAAAAATCTTTAAAAGACTAATAGCATTTTTCTCATTATTTTCCAAATTTTGATAATGCAGTTTAGATGATTTCGATAATAAAAAATGAATGCACATTTTAAATAAGTATTACTCACATTTAATCACTTTTGCTTTTCTCTTCACTATCCTTATTCCCCCAGAACCTTCTGGAAAAGCCCACTATTGGTCTCCGTGGCCTGGGCTGCTTCTCTCCTCCAGCCCAATGTCACCGCTAAGCCCTGGCTAAGCTGAATCAGCTCCCTTCCCCAACCTAATCCGCTAAGACAAGGCCTGCTGAGAGCTATGTCTGTCCTCCTCTATGACCCACAGGTGCATTATCTTTTATTCAGCACCTGTTTTGGAAATATTTTTCATAGAAATTTAAATAAAAGCAAGCAAGTGATGCGATCTGTCCCTACTTTCTAGGGTTCTAGAAAGTTCTAGAACACCACATACAAGGAATATGACTTTCCCCAAATCACTTTTCACTCTGCCTGTTGTTGCAAAGTGAGAATGGTGTTACCCACACCCCACAGTTAAAGTGAAAACTCAACGAGACACCCCACCTGAAAGTGCTCTGCAAACTTTCCATGATTAAACCATGAGGTAGTTCTTCCAACAGAGCCAGCCGCAGAACAGTGGGCACTGCTGGTCACCAAGACGCACACGTGTGATCTCACCACGAAGCAGGAGGGCCATTCCATGTCACCTGGTCACCAGCTGGCTCGACCTTGGGCCTCCTGGTGTCTCTGAGACTCAGATCTCTCCCCATCGCTCAGTCAGTCCGTCCCAGGGAGTGGCCAGTGTTTTACACTGGGCCGACACTGGCTAATGTGCTCAGCCATTTTGAGATGCCTCAGAAAATTATGTTCCTCGTGGGTGGGGGACTGAGGCAAAGACTGGGATTCCATATTCAAGGAACACGTCTAAAACCTGAGATTAAGCAGTATTTTGAGAAAGATGAGTTTGCTTATGGAATTTAAACCAACTTCAGTAGCTTTCTTATTTTTCTTTCATTTACAAGTCCTGTTAACCTCCAAAATTAAGACAGTGCCATCACAGACAAGATTACAAAACCTGTTGCCGCTGAGTCAATTCCAGCTCATAGTGGCCCTTAGAGTAGAACTGTCCCGTAGGATTTCCAAGGCTGTAATCTTTACAGAAGCAGACTGTCACACCTTTCTCCTTCGGAGCAGCTGGCAGATTCGAACCGCCCATCTTTTGGCTAGCAGCCAAGTGCTTAACCACGATGCCACCAATGCTCCTTACAGACAAGATTGTTGTTAGGTGCCGTCGAGTTGGTTCCAACTCATAGCGATTCAGACAGTGTAAATCCGAAGGGCATTAGAGAGTACCAACTCAGCCTGCCTTCTTGTATACGTTATTCTCAACAATAGTCTGCCCAAAGGGTAGTCTGATAACACTACCATAATCAATAAAGGGTTTGTTATCGCAAAAGTGACTATGTGTAGAGCACTGCTAGTAGTAGATGCTCTGTCTGCTTCGAGTTGCCAGAGCCTTCTGTGTCAGGCCTGTTGGAGCCTCAGAGAATGGTGGTGAGCAAGACAAGGCTGAGATGTGGCTGGAGGGAGACAGATGATAGACAGACAAGTCAACTAGGGGGAGTTGTTTCAGAGGGTGAGCATGCCAAGAGGGCAGGGAGGGTTCTACTGTCTACGGGCAGTTAGAGAACCCCTCACAAAGGGCTGGCATGCAAGCTGAGGTCAGATGAGTAAAAAGAACATTGCTGTCCTTGTGTAACACGCTATTTTCTGCATTGGTAAAAGTCTTCCAAATCACACGTTTAAGATCATGATGGCACCTATGAGGTAGTCTTACCAAAAAAAAAAAAGAATCTGCTCAAACCTGAGAACCACAGCAAACAGAGGGACATGCTAAACGCCACTGCGGGGATGCACCTGCAGTGTTCAGAAACAGGACCACTACAGGGCAAATCACCAGGCTGTTTTTTATGACAAATAAGTGTCAAGGGTGAAAAAAAAACAAAAAAACAAAAAACAGAATGAGCAAGCCATCAAGCCAGGGAGTGAACAAAGGGGAGAGAGGGGGAATTTACAGATTAAGGTATTTAAGAGATAAACCAACCAACTGGAGTACAGACTTTACTTGAAACTATTCAAACTAACTGTAAAGCCAAATCCAAACAAAAGGACCCTAGAGGTGTAGCTGGAAGAAGTTTAGTAGGAAATGTGCATGCGGAAGGGATGGTGGGGCTACGAAGGGGTCACTGCTGACTTCTGCAAGTGTGATAACGACACTGTATTTAATATGCCTTTACTGTTTAAAGCTACATGTTGGAATATTTATAAATAAAACAATATGTCTGGAACTTGCTTCATAATAAGGAAGGAAGTAGGTGGGGCACATATAAAACAAGATTGGTCATGAGTTGGTAACTGCTGAAGTTTGATGGAGTTCCTTCTACTATTCTGCTGACTTTTGTATACATTTAAAATTTTCCATCAGTAGTAGTTTAAAAACTGTTCGGGACTTTGGCTCCTGATTCAAAACCCAAATGTACAGACTTTGGCTCGAAAGTCAGGAAAATCTGCATATGGTCTGGGTATCTGATGACATGAGGGAACTGCTGTTCTTTTGTTAGGTGTGATCATGGGACTGTAGTTATGTTAGTTTTTTCAAGTCCTCATCTGTTAGAAATGCTTATTATTATAAGGAAAATTATATGATTTGGGGATTTGCTTTGAAACACTCGAAGGAAGGAAAAAAGGGAAGGAGAGAGAGATTTCGAGAAAAAGGAAGGGAGGGGCAGATTAAACAAAATTGGCCAAATTCTGTAAACGTTGAAGCTGGGTGATTAGTACCCGAGCATTTAGCATAATACTCTGTTCTTACAGCTGTCTGAACATTGCCCTAGTAAATTATGGACTCTCCAGGTTTGAAATGTGATGACACCAGGGCATATCACAAACAAATATCTTCATGTTCTGGTATTTTTTTCTGCAGGGACAACTAACTGCACTGCCACTCTACTTGGGTTGTTTTTTTTTTTTTTTTTAGAAAGATTCAACCCTACTGTTTTCCAAATCTGAACATCTGAATGGTTGACTGTGTTTCATGTGATAAAAATCAATACTAAGTTTTTAAAAATATTAAATTAGCACTAAATCAGCTTCTATCAAGTAGTACATATCTGAATATCTAATGAAATAAAAAGTAAGCCATAACTAGTGTTTAAATGATAACCAGATGCTTATGAAGACTAAGACCAAATCCGTTGCCATGGAGTTGATTCCGACTCATGGTGACCCTGGACAGAGCAGAACTACTCCACAGGGTTTCCAAGGAGCAGCTGGTGGATTCTAACAGTCAACCTTTTGGTTAGCAGCCATAGCTTTTAACCACTGTGCCACCAGGGCTCCAAAGACTAAGACAGGAAACCTAATTATATATGTAATTCTTATTTGGCTCTTGCTTAAAGTAGAGAGCAAATTTTTACATGCTATTTGAAAACTGGTATGCTTATATTACATTTTATTAGCACCAAGTGTATTTAAACAGTCTGCCATCAACATCTAATATACCTCTCATGAGATTCCCCTATTTCTCAATTTTCTGATCCAAATTTTAAGAAATAACTTACATCCCCAAACTTACTAAGTGGTTTTAACTACTAGAGAATGTGTACACAGCAACTTTTACCTTTCACATTTATGTTTATAGACCATGTAAATTAATGCAACAACCATATACTGGTTTTGTAAATAAAAAAATAAGATACAAGAAACAATCTATGCATTAAGTGACTACATTTACTCATGTCCACACGTGGTCCCACCTCCCTAGGGCCCACAGTTGCTGTTCTATAGAGATGAGCCTCAGAACTCAGGTTACCACATTCTAAAGATAAAGTTTCTTGCACTTTTCAAATCACAGCAAACCCCACACACGGAGTTCATAAAGTCACTGATAGCCAGATATCGCTGACATTCAAACCACACTTGTGGTAACCAAAGGTGTTATCCTACGAAGT